CACCCCCCACCCTCTTCCCCACCCGATCGAGACGATTTTCTCATCGGATCCTCTTCTTTTTGCGGCGCGCGCGCGTTCCTGTCTGCCGCGCACGGCCCCCGGCTTCCTTCGCCTGCGCTTCCACTGCGCTGAACACACACACTCACTCTCTCACACACGTACACAATCGCACACAGACCGTCAGGCAACCCCACGTTATCTAGCCGTTCATTTCCTCACGTATATTAGGATTAAAAGTGTCCACCGCCATCACCACACTGCGAGCGTTTCTTTGAAACGCGTCTTGTCTTCTTTTTTATTTCCCTCCACAGCTTTCTTCGCATCGGCCGTTACACGCGAACAACGACAACCACGACGGCCAAATCGGATAGAGCGCGCCATTTTTCTTTGTCGCCAAAATGGATAGAGACATGTCCTGGCAGCTGGCTGAGATTGAGCTGTTGGTTCGTTAGAGGCACATGGCTTGGCCATTGCTACCTGGCGCGCGGCCGGTCACTCCACCCCCCAGCCCCGCGCCGTGGCCCCCTCCGGGGCTCAGCGTCGCCCGTAAACTGGGACTCCTCTTAGCGGGCGGTGATCGCTGGGCCTAATCCGGTTCTGTTTTCTGTTCCAGCAGCGGCGAGCTCGCCCCAGCTCCTGTTCGCCACCCCGCGTGAGGGCGCCACGGTCGGCGTCGCTCGCGCGCCCAGGGCGCCGCAGCCCCCCCTGTTCAACCTGGAATGTGTGAGAGAATCCGTCGCCCTGGACCTGCGAGACTTAGCCCGCCTGCAACTCTCTAACAGGTACGTGCTATCTGATCTGGGCTGCGCAAGCCGCATCCCTGCGAGCTGGGGGCCACTTCCATGCAGATGAGACGCCATGCTGGGCTTGATGGCCCAGGAGCAGCGAGTGTGCAAGGGGCTGTGGGCGCGCTGACCCCCGCCCCGGTTACACCATTCCGCCTTCAGCTGTCGTCGAAAGGTGCAACTTCTTCCGCATGCTCTAAAACAATGGGGAATGAAAATTAAAAATTAGTACGAGGGATGTCCCCAATATGATCCACTTCAACATCACATTTTCTTTGGTCCGATACTCTTTCAAAAAAAAAAAAAAGGAATACTACCGTCCCTAGTTGCCCTCGAAGAATCAGCTAAGTCGACATTGTCACCACACTCCTCGCATCCTCATAAATGTTAAAAATAATGCACCACAACCCATCAGAACGTCTGTACAACCAGAAGCTGGCGGCCCCGTCTATCTCATAATCATGCCCCAGCACCTTTCTTCAGGAACGTGATTGAAAATCTCGCCCTTTTCAGGTGCAAAAACCGGCGGCGACGTAAATTATTTAAAACGTATGCATACGGAAGCCCTTGCGAACGCCTCGTGGGTGTCTGCGCGTGCAGCCCTGCTGTCTGCAGCCCGTGTGCACGAGCCTGTGACGCACATGGCTGCGCTCACGACCTGCGCCGTCATGGTACCCCGTATTACATTACACTGTCGTGCTCTCATTGCCTTTACATCGTGAACTCATCGCAAGCAGCAGCAGCACACCTTCTCTTGCGACAGCGCCGGCGCCCTTGCTGGACGTCGAGGCCCTGCTCCTGCTGCTGGCTGATGATGCCGCTCCATGATGGCTGCTCAGTGTTGAAACGCTGCGCCGAGCGCACCTCGCGGCCGTGAGCGCAATCAGCTAATGGTGACTGCAGAGGACAATATGACGTCAGCATTGCGCAGTTATCAGTCGTCGCGATGAGGTGTAATGAGAGGTTGGGAAAGGAATTCAGCTTGTGTGTGCTTACTAATTATACAGAGTCGCCAGGACGGAGCGCCGCCGCACCCATGGGCGCCTCATGGCGGTCTCATGGCTGCCGCTCATGGCGAGCCCGTCGACTTGACATTGACATGAAGCACATGGTGTCACGAGCAGTGTGTGCGGGGGGCCCCGTCGCGGCGCGCCCCCCCGTGTGGCGGCTGATGAGACGTGAGCCACCCACACACGTCCGCACGCGCTGCGATACACTGTTTGGGGAAGGGAGTCACGCGCGAGCCCATACGCCCACGAGGCCCTCTGAAATCTTTTAAAAGTTATAAACATTGTGGGTACAGTAACAGGGCCCGCGAGCTTGAAGCAGATACAGTATACAGTCAAGTGCCCTAAATACAGACTAGCGTCCAAAATACGGACACTTTGCTGTTTTCTACTAGTAAAGCCCCTAAATCGAAAATGGGTATCCGGAATATAGCTACCGAGGGTTCCCTGGAAAGGTTAGGCCTTCTAGAATCGAGATTTGAAGAATTACTCCCGATTTCTTGCATACTGTTCTCTCCAAGAAATGCCAAACTTGCGTTTTGGAGCCCCACGAAAACGGACAATTCTTATACTGCTTTGCAAGAATGTGGGGCTCTTAACGGCGGGTGATCGCACAACTTTCAGGTTGACATATGTGAAACTTTGACTCTTCACCTACAAGATGACACAAGAAAATTTTGTTTATGTCACTTGTGTCAAGTTTGAGAAGCGATTTCCGAAAGTCTCCTAAATACGGACAGAGGATTTTACATGCAAAAGTTACTGCTGTCCGTATTTAGGGCACTTTAAACGACTTTAAAAACGATCTTTAAGCAATTCTGGCGGCTAAACTATACAAAATAAGAAAATTTCACTGGCAGGGTAAGGTCAAATTTTTTCATGAAGTTTCTATTCCCCCCAACAATTTTTCACTTTTCATAATTTTTGAAGGCTGTCCGTATTTAGGGCGCTTAGGGCCCTAAATACGGACACTCTTCTAGCGTGGCTCACTGGTACACCTTTGGTGATAAAAAACCGTTCAAGGTGTTTGTAGGTGTGTCTCGGTCCGAAGATTTTATAATCCCCGCGGATTTTTAATTTTGTCAAAACTACAGATTTTACAGGCCTTTTTCTCTAAAAATCGTCCGTATTTAGGGACAATGACTGTAGTGCTGTTCTTCCCATTTCTGTCGACAATATTTTTTGAGGGTTTCTGCACAAAAATTCAATTTAGACCGAAGCAACACTGCTGCGGTTGCAGCCGCTAGCAGCGGGTGGGGATATAAACATAATCAGGCTGATTCACCGGGGGCATCTGCATACATGGGGTGGGGCGGAAATTGCATTTCGGGCTGACAGTCACCCTAACCCTTCCGCCACCCCCGTGCCGCCATGTTGCGTCCCAGCCTGCGCTACCCTCATCTCATTCGCGGACTGAAAATCCGACCCTCAACTATACGCTGCTCGGCTTTTCACGTTTAAAGATTTTGCTAACAACATCTGTCAAAGACTAAATTTGAACACAGACAGACGATTCGGTTTGTAAAGGATTTTTTTCTCATTTCTGTTTCAGTACTCGGACTAGAGAGAGGCAGGCGAGATTCAGTTGAGGTTGTTAATTCTCGTTAGCAGCGCAAAGTCGTACGACCATGTACGGGGCTCGATCACATTTGAGGTAATGGAAAAGTTTTTTTTTAAAGTAACGGCTGATATGACAGCCATAACAACAATAACGTGCCTTTTTGGTTTTGGTGAATACCTCACTGTAGCTGATTAACTAATTGTAAGTCAAGGGAAACATGTGTGAATGTACGACGATTCCCAAGTCATTTTAATCTCTGTCCCCTAACAATCATGCATGTTGATCAGTAACTCATGCCATCGCCACACGCCTCTAATCACCGTGTTCAACCTCGTCATGTTCATGACGAGAGACAGAGATGTCTCTCAGCGATTCCACCTGTCGCCTTGGCGAGTCCATAAGCGGTGCCCGTAATGCGCGCCCCATTAGAAGGCAGTAAATATGCGCCATTTGACTTTCTTCCGCAAAACTCTGCCCCCCGCCGCCTCTCCCACTCTTTTTTTTATGGAGCATTAAAACCAATGTGTCAGTATGTAATAGTGAGCCTCTCTCACAGGAGCACGCGCGGCGCGCGTTTTGACCGAATACTTTGGGTTTTGGGACGGGGATGGCGTGAGTGTGTTTACGGGCGTTGTGGCTTCTCTCTGTGTGTGCGTGTGTCGGTTTGGATTGAATGAGCGGCCTGCCCATCGTGTTTTACTGTTATCTATGCAGGGTTGCCCGTAAAAGGGAGCACCCAATAGGAAATATTGCCCGATCTCTTTTCTGAAGAAAGTCGAACTTCTTTTGGCACAACATTTCCTTTCGCGTTTTATTCGTTCCGCTTCAGAGAAGTCGAAGTCCCCACAGTAAAAATAATTAGAGATCATTTGACTTGACATCAGTTAATTTTCTTCCTGTTTTTGGTAGCCAAACAAAGGTCACATCATCACGCCACGAAGGTCAAAATTCAGACAACAGATGCCCAGCCTTAATTCGGGTCTTGCCGCCGACAATCTCGACCTCGACTGCGGGTGCGCGGCACTTTTGATTGCGATGACCCCCACGAGCCTTGACAGCACCCCCTCCTCCCCCCTCTCACTTCTTC